TATATTACAATAGAACAAAATTAATATTATTAAAAAAAAATAAAGTTATGGAAAACCTGTAAATCATTTCACTTATTGAGTGAAATGATTTACAGGTTTCCCTTTTCGTCATTTGCATAAGTTGTAATAACGTTTTAGTTAATTCTTTTCTTGTTGTAAGCAGAAAGAGAAAGTAAGAAAGAGAAAATTTGTTAATATAAATATTACAGTTTAATAACTAGTTTAATAATAATAATAAAAAGAATAGTTTTTTTTTCGTCATGACAGTACTTTATTAAACAATTTGTAGTTATATACAATTATAGAGTATTATTTAATATACAAATCTGCCAGTATCTAAATATATTTGTTATACTAATCTAAACAGAATTAGAATCTGTGTGACAAATTGTGTATTTGATGTAAGCTTTCTATATCTGAGAATATTGTGTAAACAACATTTATCAAATGTGATTGGTAGTTTGACTATTTATATTAACTTTACACTTTTTTTTTAGGTTTAAAAAGAAACATCTATGGCGTGTAATCTTTATTAAAACTTACAACCTACAAATACATAAAGTATTATATTTTGCATATTAATAAGGTTACAATTAGATATTTATACAATTTTATTCATAGTCTATTTAAAGGTTTCACTTGCAGATTATTTACTAATTATCATATTTGAAATCTGCTTGTAGGTTTCCTATTTAAAGGTTGTTTTTTAATATTCTTTCTATATTATCAACTTAATTTTTTGATAATAGGTATTGTGTTATTTTATTCTTAATGCAAATTTTATTAAATAAAAGTAGATTTTATAATTAAATTTATTTGGATTTATATATTAGAAGTAATTTTATATTAGATAAAATTAATTCTTTTCACAAATATTGATGACATTTTTTACATTTCTCATTATAGTAATATTTATTCTCTGTTATATAAGTTCTCATTTGAAAATTTCTTGTATCTTTATTTGAAATTTTATAAGATTTCATATTTGATTATAAGTTTTATTTTTGGTTATAAAAGCATATATATAATTGAATAAGTAAAAGAAAATAAAGTTGAGTAAATTGTAATTCAATATTATATTGCCAATAGGTAATAAAAATAGTTTCAGAGGTGTGGTGACCTAGTAAAGTGGTCAGATTGTTAACTTCCAAGTGGCAGAGTCCAGAGTTCAAATCCTAGTATTGATAAAAAATTTGAAAATCCTCACTGTGTTATGGTTAACTGTTTCTCGCAATTGGTTAAGATAAGACATCTGTTATCTGTGTTGTACCAGTATGACTGGTAGGTCACATAATATTTGTGTAATAGTCACATGACATTGTCCTTTGGAACAAGATCTGTGATTATATAAATAAATGCAAATTGATACCAGACAGTGCAAACCTACAATAAGTATTTATGGTCATGTAAATTATAGAAACTAAAAGAAGAAAGACAGAAGCCCACTTAGAAGACCCAAATAGAGAGGTAACCTAAATTTTTAATAGTGTTACTGTAAAGACTAGATTTATAAAAAGAGTTACAACTTGTAAAACTGGGCAAATGTGCCAGTCTTTAAAGGGGAACTGGATGAACCAATCAGGCTGTTAGAATTTCTGGGTTCCAGAGAAAAAGAATACATGTTTGCAAATATGTAAATCAGAGGTGTATAGTTTAACCTACCTTTCTGAACTATTTGGAATGGTAGCTTAGTGGAACTTGAATTGAATACCAAAGCAGTAAAGATATATTATGAAGTAAGTACTAGGTTAGGATGAACTCTACAAGGATATAGTGGCTTAATATTATGTCCTGATCAAAATTGTTAGTCTCAGATATAGCAATACCAGGTCAACTATAAGAATAAGATACAGAAGATTCTGGAAAGTTTAGTATAAGTTCAAAGGTTCTAAAAAACTGCTTTAAAGACTTAGTGATTATAGCATATTTTCACTGACATCAGTCAGAATCATTAGTAAGCAAAATAGGCAAGTGAATACAGAAACTAGAGTAATTAAATAGAAAACCTACAAGCAGGTTCCAGGTATAGCAGCTAGTATAGAACCTTTGAGTGAACTACTTAAATTAGACAATAACTAAAGTTGTATGAGTAACTAGTTGTATACTCTTTCCATAGTTGCCTTCTGTGGTTATAATGCAACCATTAACTAAATATACTGTTAATAAAATTCTGGGTTACAAGTACTTATCTTAATATTTAAAAAAAAAATTTCAAAGTAGTTTCAGATATATATAATTATTTTTTGACTTTGCTAGCAATGATTTGATTATTAAGTATTGTAATAAGTTATAGTTTTTTATATAATAAGAAGTGTCCAATTATATAACTGTAATAGTTTGTATTAAACAGATATAGGTGTTAGTAAAGTGTATAATTATAATAATGTCTTGTAAGTTGTCTTCTAAGTAAGTAAATCAAAATGGTTGTTTGTCTTTTAAAATATTGTATATATAAGAAAAGATGTGTTTTTGAGTTTAATAAATATAAGTTATTAAATATAATAAGTTAATTTAGAATAAGGATACTGTAATAATTAAGCTTTTGTTTTTTTTGTTTTATCAAGACTATTGGTTATTAGCAACTACTATTTTTATTGTATTTTAATTATAATTATATAACTTGTATAAGATTAGTATATAACTAGTCATATATACATCTTTTGACTATTTATTTAAGTATTTTATTTGCAGATTCTATACTAGTTGTTATATCTGCAATCTGCTAAAAGATTATCTAATTAAACATACTGATTTCTATACTTTATCTGACAGATAGCATACAAGTTTTTATATAAATAAATACTATTTAACCTAAACCTATTTTTTTTCTGTATATTTGTTAAATTATTATATATTTTAGAGTATATCATCTAACTATAAATTTCTGAAGGCTTTCTGTTAACTAGTCTACTTATTTTTTATAAGAAATTAACAGAGCTCATTCTTGTCAAGTTTATCAAACCTTAATGCCAACTTTATAGCATATTCTTAGTACTTATAATTATGGATCAAAATCAAAAATATAATTCAAATATTATTAAAAAATTATCTAAATGATAACAGGTTAATAGTTTGTTAACTGCAATAGAATTAGAAAAAATAAAAATAATCCAATATATTAAAACTAAAAAAATTTGTTATATTTCAAATAATAAACAATAAAAATTATTAAAATATTATTTAAAACATAATGATTTTATAAAGAAGATATAAGACAATATTTTAATAATAGAATGTATATATATTAAAGATTTGATAAATCATAAAAAAATATACTATTGGCTTGCTAATAAAATTTTTTGGTTATTTTAAATAATATTTAGATGATATATATTATATTATATTAATTATAAAAAAAATTCAAAATGTTAATCAATATATCTAAACTAATTATCTTATAGATATTTGGATAATATTTTAAAAAATATGTATAATTTGATAGTATAATAAAAAGCTAATAATTTAAAGATAATTATAACATTTGTTATTTCTTAGCTAATATTTAAAACTAAATAGTAAAATATTATTTAGTAAATAAAAATATTATAAAAAATATATTTACTAATATCTTAAAGATTAAATAAATTATAAAAAGATATACTATTTGCTTATTAATAAAATTTATTTATTATTTTAAATAATATTTTGTTAATATATTTAATAATTTATGAATTTTTGTATATATAAAATATATTACTATACCTTCTTAAAATTTTAAAGTTAATTTAATATAAATAATTATATTGTCGTAATCTGGAAAATGTATCTTCTAAAATTCCCTATTCATAGGGTAAATAAAAGTCTCTTGCATAATGTTGGATGAGATAGTACTCAAAAGAGATGTTGCATTTAAATAAGTACTATGAGTAAGCATTATTTTATTAATTATTATATGAGACTTGTTTTTATTATATTATAACCATATTACTTATATACTTTTTCTTTATATGCTATATCTACTAATTATACTCTATATGTTATATTTACTAATTATACTAATTACACTATATCTACTAATTATGTTCTATATGCTATATCTACTAATTACGTTGATTATGCTATATCTACTAATTATGCTTTATGTGCTATATCTACTAATTATGCTCTATGTGCTGTATCTACTAATTATGCTCTATATACTATGTGCTATAATAATTACTATATATTATTACTTTATTATGCGATATAACTTAAATGAGATATCAACGATCCTATTTTGAATCATGACATTTCTCTCCACTTTAATACATTCATTTTATGAATTTAAACCAGGCTTTGAAAATCTTTAGCCTTTATTCTTGCCATTATGGTTATGTTAATACTTTTTGTATGATAGATTTGAGTAGGTTTATAGGCTTTGAACAACCAAAATGCTCTTATTGTGGCTATGAAGTAGTGTTTTGTGATCACCTTTTGGTAAAAGGTCTGCTGCTTAGAATTCATCTTGGTCAACATTTTACCCAGGTAAAAAGCATGAATTAGACTTTCAGTGTAGTTTTTGAGTTTAATATTCTTGAGCATTTGCTAATATGTCTTCATTACTTTGTTATCTAGATTTTTAACAGATGATATGGTAGGAGTGTAACAACTACATCTTGCAGAGTGGTTGACAGTAGGTCACTGATTATTCTATTGAGAGAGTCTATTTGTTTTAGGTTGGTATTATTATTTTTTATTATTATTATTTTAATTTTTTTTTTTGATTGGTTAATTTGTTTGTCACTTGCTTTTATTATTTGCTGCCTAATGGTTTTTTCCTTTCACTTCCTGGGTTCAGTTATTTTATATATTTACTGAAGTTTTTTTTTTCAATAGTTTAGTCACAAATTAGAGAAGTATCCTTCACTTTCTTCTTTTGTTATTTTGTTGTTTCTGTCGATACTAACTTTCTTCACTAGTTTTTTTTTTTGGTTAAAAATTTATTTATTCAGTTTGAGCTTCTTTTGTGGGCCTTTACTTTCTTCCTTCTTTTCCTTAAATATCTATGTCCTCTTTAATTGCTACCTCAGATGGTTTTGAGCTTCATGATACTCTTTTAGTTGCACTTTATTGATAGAAATTTTACAACTTGTCCATTTAGAGTTCTTATTTTATAGAAACTATTGGCTAAAACCTTGTGCATAAAAATTGGGCTTTTCATTTTTGGTTTAGCTTATGGCTTCTAGACATTAAATAAGCAGCATCAAATAACAATACTTTGGTGCTAATGTGGAACTCTGGTATAATTTTGATGTATTGATCATAGTATGCCTTCTGTTTTAGTTATGCAAATCACACTTGTTTTACTGCTTTGTTTCGCTAAGTTGGTACCTGGTTTAGTAAATTAAAAGTTCTTTGAATGATTGTTCTGTTTAAAATATCTGAGATATTACCAGGGTGTAGGGGCAATCAAGCCTTTCTTCTGTAAACTAAATAAAATAATATCATTTTTGTAGAACTTTGTTTTGTTGTATAATATACAAAAAGTATTAGTTGGATAAACTGGTTCTAGTCAGTGACATTTTGAATTGTCTTTGCTATTAACTTGCATAATGTTTTATAGTACTATTCAACAAGACTGTTACTTTGTAAATGGTAGGGAGTTGACAGTTAATGTTTAATTTGAAACTTCTTTAATAATGCTTCAATTAATTCATTTCTAAAATGTATGCTTCAATCAAATGACAGGTACATAGAGCAACTGTGTTTGCATATAATTTCTTCATAAACAAATTCAGCAACTGCAATGGCATTATCCTTCTTAATTGCTCTTGCCTAGGGCCATTTTGACATATAGTCAGTAGCAATGACTATATATCTCTTGTTTCTGTAAGTGATGGGTAGAGGTCCTACAATGTCAATCTCAACACATTAAAATAGTGAGTCTACTGAAATCGGGTGGAAGGGTTTTTGAAGCTTGTTTTTTCTTTGTCATTAGCATGAGTCACATGTATAAACATATTTACAAAAGTTTTCAAACATCTGAGGCCAAAAATAGTGCCTTCTTATTTTGTTGAACATAGCTGCTTGTCCTATATGCCTTTCAATTGGATGGTTGTGCGCAAGAAATAGGATGCTCTATCTTAAACATTTGTACTACCTTTAGCCAATTACCCTTTTCATGCCTATCCCTCTTATATAATGCATTCTCTTTCATCTTAAAAACCTTACTTTGAACTTTATTCTTGCTTGTTCTTGTTTATTCAGCCCAGGTAGTAGGTATTAGTTGGTTATGAAATGTTTTAGGTGTTGATAATAGGTGAAGTCCATGTTATGAACTATATGCTGATTTGATTTTGAGCTAAGTACAATTATTTGATGTATTTGGTTGTTTTATTTTTTTTTTTTTGAGATTTGACTAACTTATCTTTCTTGGGTTTTATTGTAGTGTCAGGACACCAGTTACCTAGTCTGGATTGGGTCCAGATTTGAGTATTGAAGATATTTTTTTTTTATTTTTTTTTTTTTTTACACTAATTTTAACTTTTTAATTTGTACTTAGATATGTAAAAGAGCATTAGCATTTGATTGCTTTCATCCTGGTCAGTGTTTGATAGTATAGTTATATGATTGTAAATGTAAGAGCCAATAGGTATGCCTTTCTTTTAATTTTGATGATTCCAACTACTTCAGATCTGAATAATCGGTTACAACCTTAAATGGCTTATAGCCAAGGTAATAGTGGAAATATTTGATTGCCCAAATTACAGCCAGGCATTCCAGTTTGCTTATAGAGTAGTTTCTTTCAGGTCTAGAAAGACTTCAGAATGTATAAGCAACTACATTTTCTTTATGATCATTTCCAACTTAGGCCAAGACAGCACCTAACCCTATTTCAGATATGTTAATGTGTAAAAAAAACCTTCTGTCAAAGTTAGGGTAATGTAGTATAGAGGCAGAAATTAGATGTTGTTTGAAGTATTAAATGCTAGTTGTTGTTGGGTAGTTCAGTTATAAGGGGTGTTTTTTTGTAATAGGTAGTATAATGGTTTTGCAATTATTGCAAAGTTTTTAATAAATTTATAGTAGTATGATGATAACCCTAGAAAACCTCATAATTGCCATATGTTTTTGAATATTGGAAAAATTTTGACTTTTTCTGTTTTTGCCCCATCTGGCCATATACCATCCTTACCAATAATGTGACCCAAAAAATGAAATTTTGAAGGAAAAACTGATATTTTTTTAAATTTAACTTAAGACCTGCATTTCTAATTTTTTTAAATACTTGACTCAAGTGATTAATATGTTCAGGTAGGATGCGAAAATAAATATTAATATCATTGAGATATACTATGATGAATTTACTAGTAAATTTATATAGAATTTTGTCCATTAGTCTTTGAAATATCACGGAGGCATTACAAGAACCAAATGGCATAATAGTGAACTCAATTATTTCAAATTTGGTTACAAACACCATTTCTTCGCAGTCTTCATCACTCATTTGGACCTGCTAGTAGCCATTAGCAAGGTCGAGACTACTAAACCATTGGGCACTGCCAAATGTTTCTAAAAAGTTCATCAATATAAAGAATAGGATATGCATTCTTTTTAGTTACCTTGTTTAACCATCAATAGTTAATACACATTCTTAATTTGTTATTTTTTTTAGGATTAATATTATGAAAGATGCCCAAGGGCTAAATAATTCTCTAATCAATCCCTTCTCCTTTAGTTTATTCAACTCTTTATATACAAATTCCTGTTCACTAAAGGCCAAGTGATAAGATGCTTGTTTAGTTGATTCGATATCACTAGTCTTGATCACATGCCTTATAAGGTCGGTTTGTCCAAGTTCTTCTAACCCATTTGCAAATAAGTCTTCATTTGCTTTAAACAATTGCTTCACATTTACTTTATAATATGCTTTTATATTCACACTATCTACTATTCTAACCAATTGATCTTTTATAGGCAGTTTTTTATCTATAGGGACCTTCTTTTCAGTTGGGACTTCCTTCATTACAGCTAGACAGACTGCCAGGCTTTCTTTTTTAACATTCTCATCATCAATCCTTCTTTCTGACTCACTTTTCAACACTTCACCAACTGGAATACTATCTATAGAGTAACTTTCAACTTCTTCAAAATTCGCACTTTTATACTCAAATTCCTCAAATAGATTGTCAATGTCATTTTTGTTACTATTGTGGTCACCTGACCTTACATCCTCATTCATATACTTCTTCTGTTTTCCCTTGTCTGTATGCATTATAGACACTTCAAACCTCCTTCCTAAATATCTAATTACTAGCTTTTGTTCAGTAAAATCCACTATTACTTGAGCTTTTTGGAACCAGTCGGTTCTTAGCAGCAAATTCTTATTAACAGATTTTAATACTTATAGGTAGGTAGATATGTTGACACTATTTACATTGATATTCACTTTGGCTATACTTCCTAACATATGTTTTCTGGCACCTGTTGCTTTCACTACTACCATTTTTGATTTCTCCTCTATACTAATCTCAAGTCAGTCTGCCAATCATTTTGTTATGATACTTATAGCTGCACTAGTGTCTAATATAGTTACTACAGGCTTGTTGGCATTTGGCTATGGTAGTTCATTGTTAAGGTTGGAGATTTACAAGGTTTGCTTCCTTAGTATAGGATAGTCTTCTGAGGGCTCTTGTCAGATTCCTTTTTTGATTGAGATATTACAGGAGTTGTTCAAATGTTGCATTGGACTTTGCTGCTAAGAGGTTATTGGCAATGTTGTATGGTTCAATTTTATCTATAATAGATGGTCCATATTTATGCAGGAGTTGGTGAGACCTTTAGAGGAGCAGAAGCCACTTCATTCATTATTTTATTGCTTTGAGATGAGGGTCCTGCAATAACTACTATGAGTGGGAGGAATGCAATACTTTTTGCTTTTTTCCTTGAGTCTCTCAACTATTTTCAGGGTTTTTAGATAGTTGATCTTTTCTTTTTGCTTCATATTGCTAGTAGCTGTCTTCAAGATTGTATAATTCTTCTTTCTATACTAAGTCATCATCATCTTTCTCCATGTTACCTTTTTGGCATAACTTGGTTGGGATGTATATCCTTTTGCACAGTAAGATTCTTGGTAGAGATGCAAAATTAAGCAATGTAACCTTTTCAGTCACATTTATAATACACAATATTAGGTTTCATAATCAGTAATTTTCTTGATTAGTTTGATTATACTTTTTTTGACTCTATTTTGTTAATTGTGCAATCGAGTTTGCCATATTGGCATAATTTATTGTTAACTTATTCATTCTTTTTATTAAGTTTTCTATATCATTCTTAATTTTTACAGGTGCTTGGTGCACTGCTGCTTGTTATCTATAGTAATTACTCATTTCTATCTTTCACACATATGCAATAGCATCATCCAACATTTTTGGGGCCATCATAGTAATGAAGGTTGCCATTTCAGCACTTAAACTGCCAAGAAACATGCATATAACATATGCAGAAGGAAGTTTTATACTGGATTCAACTCTATACAAGAGTCTTTTGAATTTTATAGTATAAAAGTCAACTTTCTTTTCTGGTTTCTGTATAAGGGCATTCAATTCTACTTGCCAATGGTGGTGCCATTCAGGTGTTACAAAAAACATAGATAACAGGTGCAAAAAGCTTTCAGTTGGGCAATTTTCTTTATTTCAATACTTAATTTTTCCTCTATTTTTGCAATACTAATTTGCTGCTAGATTACTAAGATAACCTATAGCAATTGTAATCCTTCTTTCTTTGCTCCAATTGTTGGTTTTAGCAGCTTGATCAAATGACTCAAACCATTCTATAGGGTCTTCATTTTTCCTTTCATTGAATTTAGAGATAGTTATAAGGTTTAGTTTCTTTTTCTCTGTTGTATCTGCATTGATCATCCTAGTTGTTGCATCTTCAAACATTTTGGTAAACTTATCAAGCAGCAGCTGTAGCTAGCCCAAATCCAGTTTGGTGGCTTTTTTTGTTGGTTGTGGGTTTGGTTCTACTTCTATGAGTTTTGGGGGTGAGGCTGTCCTTCTGAGTCCTGGCTTGCTAAAATTGAAAGTGTTGAGCCAAAAAGTATTTTATTATATATATATTTTTTTTTTGTGTTTTGTGGGTTTTTATTGTATTGTCTATGCTAAAAAAAAAATTTACTTTTTTATTCTTATGAGCACAATATTTTTGTAATCAAAAAAAATTTTCTTTTATAATCCATAGCCTTTTTTTAGTGATTGTGATTTCTTTTGACTAAAGTTTTACCAATAATGATTCTAGTATCATCACTAGTTTCTTGCTTTCTTAGTAAGTATGTCTGCTTAGTTAATTTCTTTGCTTTATATTTAACCTCTCTTTTAATTTAATTTTTTCTTTTTTTGAATCAGGAGAAGAGGGGGTCAGACGATCTCACAGTCACCACCAATTGTTGTAATCCAGAAAATGTATCTTCTAAAATCCTCTATTTATAGGATAAATGAAAGTCTCTTGTGTAACATCAGATGAGATAGTATTCAAAAGAGGCATTGGATTTAGGCAAGTACTATGAATATGCATTACTTTATTAATTGTTATATGAGATTTGTTTTTATTATATTATAACTATATTACTTATATACTTTTTCCCTATATACTATATCTACTAATTACACTCTATATGCTATATCTACTAATTACACTGATTATACTATATCTACTAATTACACTCTATATGTTATATCTAGTAATTACATTAATTATATTAAATCTACTAATTACACTCTATATGCTATATCTACTAATTATGCTTTATGTGCTGTATTTACTAATTATATTCTATATACTATATGCTATAATAATTACTATATATTATTACTTCATTATGCGATATAACTTAAATAAGATATCGATAATCCTATTTTGGATTATGACAATATTATTTGCTAATATTTAATAATATTAAAAAATACTTTTTATTATAATAGTTTACTAATATTTAATGATATACTTTAATATTATATTGTTTTAATTATTTATAGATGATAAATTAGTCAATTAAATATATTTAATGTAATATTTGATAATATTTTTTATTTTTAGTTGAATATTGACTTATTTGTAAAATATCAGTTTATAATATTTTGTAAAAATTGTAAAATATCAGTTTATCTCTTAAACTGTTTTCCAGGCAAATTTGCCTGGAATTTTAAATTAAATTTAGTATTTTTTAAATAACACAATAAATTATTAATAATAT